AGCCTGTTACTTGTGATTATTTTTATAGCTAAAGATGACGGGGGGGGAATTACAGATGATAAAGCGACCCAGAAAAGGAAAGCTTTTTAAATTTAATAACAGCTCAGACCTACTGACCCAGAAGTTTACTGCTATATGTCTTACCGAGGAGTGGGAGAAGGACTGGGTAGTTGTAAGGCATGACAAACAGGTTAACACAGGTGAGAGTGGTGCTGGCTTTAAGGTAACCAAATGGCTGTCCCAGGTCATTTTGCTTTGCACTGCTGCTAACAAACACCTGAGGAGAAAACAAAAAGGAAATCAAATACAATTTAGTTTTCTGAGTGTAAAAAATTTACTTTAGAAAACGTTGTAGATATGTGCTTCGTGACCACCTTCATAAGTGAGGCTCATTACTAATTCACAACTATAAACAGCAAAAGGTGAAAAGACATTCTGAATAAAGCTAGCAGCCTCATTATTCCTGTTTTTCAATCAAAGTCGTAGAGGCAACAGCAGTGACAGTAAAAACAAGCCAACAGAGCTGATGGGTGTGTGATTATCTACCATACCTGCCAGCACATGTGTGGAGACTTCCTTTCCAAAATGTACTGGGTGAGCGGAGATGGCTCCAGTTCATACTTGTCAAAGGGAAGCTTGTCTATCACCATGGGCTCACAGTCCACACACGAGAAACGCACCATGGGATGTGCAGAGCGAGGGGGCTGGGAGCAGGAGATGGAGATAAGTGAAGAAATTGTTTGACATGTTTATCTATGTGGTATGGACCAATGTAATGTCTTTGCCACTCCACAGATAATGGCATACACAGAATGAGTTTGCAGAGTTGATTATATTGGCTGTAAGTCAAAGTTACTGGCTCATGTCAGCTAGAGAAAAAGAGGACTGCCAATAAAAGAGAGAAAGAGAGATAAAGTGACAGTAAAAGAGAAAGTTTGTGTAAATGTGTCTCTGCTGGGAGACTACAGAGATACACACACACACACACTATCAGTATAATGTCAAATACAGTCTGGGGTATCAATGCATCGTCTATGTACGCAGCTTCTCTCTGCTTACCAGGGTGGGAGAATTCTGGTCCGGCCAGAAGGACTCTGGTATGGGCCAATGCCCGACCGGAACCCCTGTCTTCGGGTTCGGTCGCACATAGATGAGTTTGTGACAACTGTGCCACGGCTGTTGGCTGAAGGATGACACAGGACGACTGGACTCCACTGCGTTGTCTGTAAAACCATAAAGACACAATATAATTCTCTCCTTTTACAGATAAAGCAGTGTGAGTCAAAATATCTCAGCAGCCTTTTCTGCTTTTTATACTGCTTTATATTTGGCTGATCTAGAATATGCACTCAGTTCTCCTTTTACTGTAAAACTGCCCTGTGGTTATCCAGGATAAGAAGATTCTGTTCTGCTTTCAGAAGTTTTACTGCCCTCAGTGTTTTGCTCTAACTTACTTTATGAAATGTGATGAGATAATGTGTTCAGAAACCTATTTAAATTGACTGTGTGTCAACTCACCTTCCCCAACGAGAGGCGGATCTGGTCCTGTCTTCTCAAAATTAATGACAACACCACTTTGCACCTTCTGGACCAGAGACTCCAGACACTGGTTCAGCATCCTCTGTGTCCGCACACAGTACGATCGCCCTGAGGGAAAGCAGGATGATTAGGAAAAATAAATGGTGGTGTGAATACAGGACCCACGTTGGGGCACCAAAAGAAGAATATTCCAAACCTCCAGTGACTTCACACATCTGGGTGATGGCAGACTCATCTGTGGGAACACTGCCAAGCTGCTCGTTGTCTGGTGTGGCTGCTCCTGGCAGCCGCAACACCAATGCAAAGAGACGCTGGTCCCAGCGAAAAGGCTCTTTGGTCAGTTCACTGCCTGCCAACGGAGAGTTCAGAGGCAGGTGCAGCTACACAACACACAGGGTGAAGAAAGAAAGGAGTTTTATATGTGAAAACTGCCATCGGTCCCCATTTGCACAGTTTTACAAATCTTAGTTGTGTCTTTACTTTACTACAAACCAAGTACATAGCCTCACTACTGCATTTGTTTGTGTTCTCACCTCATCTGGCACCCCAGAGCTGTGTGTAAGCTTGTTCCCATCAGTGATAGTGATGATCACAGATGGCTCGAGGAAGAAGGGGTTACGGCCCTGAGAGGGAAACAGTAACATTCAGCAGTTAAATCCAAGTTGAAGAAAACAGTGACCCAGATTATCGTCACTAGCCTGCTGTCTTTTCTTTATGTTCCAGACCAAAAAACATCATTCTGGGTTCTGTGTCTCGAAGAGATTCCCACTTTCTATAACACAACATGTAACTGGTCTTACAGGATTAAATACAGGCAAAATACAAGTATACCGTTTAAGCAGAGGTCCACCTAGACACAGTAATTAGTATGGTATTAGCATCACAGCTCTGATAACCTCCTGGGTACTAATATGGACTGTGTGTTGCAGCTTGTAATCTTGTAGCTGTAAGCTGCAGAGTGTCCTTGTGTTCCTCGTTAAGGACAGAGGCCTCTACCACTGTGCTGCAGGGTCAGCCTCGTCTCATTCAAACACACAGACACTCCATGCTACACACACAGCATGCACGTAACCTCTATCCCTGCTTGGGTGTAGTCATCTATGTCTGCCTTCAAGCAGGAGTTTGGAGGAAAGATGTGTGTGAGGAGCTGACGACAGTGCTAACTGAGGCAAGACAGAGTGGATTAAGTTGCAATCAAAAGTCAATATTATTCTCTTTGTCTCCAGGTAAAGGAATAAAGGACTGCCAGATGAAAGCTTTGTCACAAACATTATCAAAACCTTGATTTATCCGGGAAAAGTCCACATATACTGTAAGCGTTAGCTGGATCAGAAAAGCCTTGTTTCCACACGCAGTTGCTTGTCAGAACTAATTTTGTCTAGTGTGAAAAAAAATATAAAGAAGTTCTTGACAATCACAACCAATCCACCCCTAAATGATAACAAAGTATAGCATGTCACTGTCTTGTCAGTCAGTGTGTATAAGGTGTTGAATGTGTATCTAATCTCATACTGTCAACAACAAAAATAAAACCACAGATTAACTTGTTTTTTTTCATACGGCCACATCAGTGAGTATTAATTAAAAGGACCAAAAGTAATAACGCTTGAAACCCTACGGAGAGTAATTCTTCTGCAGTACCTGTCCGTAGTTGTCGATGCCTGAGACGAGGCGGTTGAGGTTCAGCAGGTCAAAGGCTGTGCGGAGGGCGTGACCTAACGTAGTCAGCCCAGATGCCTGCAGGTTCTTCAGCTCACACATGAAGGTGGCATGGTTCTCCTTCCAGCCTGCCTGAAATACATACATTGACAGTATACTGAATGCTCTGCACAGAAAACTGCCGTACAACACAGGAGCAGAGGAAGCCTGGAGTCACAGTGAAGAGCCACAAACCAAAATAGATCCACACCCACAGATACCCATACTGTAATTACAAAGAAAACAGAACAAGTTTTGTTCACTGACGACCACAAACTCATTCATGTCAAGCATATGACTGCCACCTTTGGTAAAAAGCAGTTTATGCACTAGCAATCCATTGATTATGTGCAGCATGACATAATAGTAACCATAAAATGAGATCAGGTTGTGTCAAGCTCTGGAAATAGAAGATAATATTGTTGAAAAGCGGGCCCACATTTGAGCTGGATGGGGCTGTTTAAGAAAGAGTCTAATTTCATACATGACAAGCATCCAAAAATACACTTCCCACTGCAGCCTGTCCTCTCCTGACAGCGATACACTCCCACAGGAGAGGATGTGGGTGTGGGACTTCTCTCGGACCTCACAACTGCAGCTGCACGCCTAATCTAAAGATGACCTGCAAGTTTACCACATCCCTTATCAGGGGAAACAGGAGGAGAGGCTAGAGACACACACACAGAGAGATGAAGGGTGAGAGGGGGAAAAACTTCATCAGCACGTAGGCTCTGAATCAGGACGGTGGCCAGGTTTTTGGGATAATCCTGGGATATCATTCCAAAGCCATGATTAATGTGGAATTTCTAGGAAAAGTGCTTTATGAGTGACGTTAGATAAATATTACACAGTCATACAAGCGACATTACTGAGCAGTGAGGTAAAACTGAAGGTGGAAATACACTCAGTCTTAGTCGAAAAGTAATAACCCAGACGTAGACTGTCGTGTAGGCCAGCAGAAATGCAAGGCTTAGCTCGCACTCAATAATTCAGACTTCAGGATATTTCTATTTTCTTCTCGCCCAACCTCCTCTCGCTCGCTCGCTCTACATCAACAATTTATTGCCTCTGTAACTGTGCAATCAGAGTAGCCCCATTCAGTATAACCTTGTCCTTTCATCATAATCCTCGATGCACAAAGCAGGCAGGAACAACAAAGGAGAGGGCGAACGAAGAGCGGAAGAGCTGGAGGAAGAGAAGTTGAGGACAGGACTTTACAACAAAGGGGAAAGCACTTGAGCAGCACCTGGATGATTTAATGCGAGGATGAGATCAGTTGAAGCATTTGGCTGAGATGTTATACACAACACTGTTTTAGTGGGACGTACCAAACAACGATCCTGGACTGCAGGGGCAGTGACTGACTGAAGTAGGGAAGCATTACGTGAATGACACACTCCTACACATCCGCCTAGCAGGATAAAAATGATGCAATAACGTTTTAGGTGGCGAGCTCAAAGTGGTCCACTTGGAGGTCAAACTGAGCCAGATATTGCACAGCTGTAAACATTAACACTGAGCAAGACTGTACATGTGTTAATTGGGAAAGAAAACCCCTCACTACACACACTTATCTGTGTTTTAGTTATGTCTAAAGAGTGTTGAAAGTATGCTAAATACACAATATTGATATTAAAGTTCTGTTATAAATGTTTGATTAAGATATTTTTTGAGAAAAGGAAAGTAGATCTGCTTATCTATAAAAAGTTAGTGTTACATTATGCAAAAAAACACTTAATTTTATATGAATTTACCCAAAATACTGCAGGTAAGTAAAATATAATTAAAGTTAAAATATAATTAAAGTTAAAATATAATTAAAGTTAAATTATAAAAAGCCCCAGAATGTCAATAACAGACTGTTTAAAAGTATTTAATACATAAATAATAGTGAGTTTAATATTTTCAAATATAATATTAATTGACTGCAGAACGTTTAATCAGCTACTAAAATAAAAAATTATGTATTTGAGCATCTATGAACTCTATTTTCCTCCTATATTCTCACTGTGAGCACATGTTTAATTATTCACACATTTCCATTGTCTTTGTGGCTTCCCTAATACCCTGGCACATACACAGAGTGTGAAATGTACTATATTGTTATACAGTTTGTACTCAATTATCACGAGAGAGAAAGTAATATCGTCACTTCTGCTCTGGCGCTCTTCAGAGAGCCGCAGCTGCTGGAGAGGTGAAACAAACTACACTGAAATTGATCTCCGACAACAACATTTGAGTACCTTTTTACTTGCACTATGTAGATATGCCTCTGTATCGATCCTCTAAACTCTCAGAGCAGCAACTACTATTAAAGATGAAGTAACTGATTACTTTCCAGCTCTGGCATTTGGTGATTTGGTCGTGAGGCATGCAAACAACAAAATGTGACTTTATAAAAGGAAAGCAAAATATTCTATATGCCTTCAAGCATTAATGACAAGGGGTGGAGTAAGTACTCGGCATATTGTGTTGAGAGAAGTACAGTGTTGTTTGCCAGGAGCTTTCTAATACAAACCAGCCACTGAAGCAGATCAGGGACTTCAGGGGTTCATGTGGGTACTAAAGACTATATTTTATTGGGCATGAGAAAGCTCAGTGAGACATGTGTGCCAAGTCATAAAACAAGTCAACAGATTAGTAGTGAGGATAGCTTTGCTGACATGAAACCCCTGAAATTATTGCAGTGATTCACAGGTTGTATGTTGTGTGTGCATGAAAACTAGGTTGTTTGTATGGTGGGCCATAATGGTCATAAAGTCGGCATGGCAAATAATTATAATATGAATAATGATAATTCGCTTCTAGCGAACTCACAAATATAAAAAAAATAATAATAAATAAATAAAAACTAATGATGAAGAGGGCTTATCAACTTTCAGCCCGGATTGACCAATGGCAATGCGTGGATGATGGAAGGGGCGGGGTCGAAGGTGATTGGCGGGCTTCTTGACCAATCGAGACACGGCACTTTCAAAAAAAAAAAAGAGCGACGTCACAGGCGATAATAAATCTCCCCGCCTCCATCTCGACGCCCGAGACTTTCCTCAACACAAAAGCAAAATGTCCGCTGGATGGTCGGAGGCAGTGCAAGCTCCGGTCTGCGGGTGTTTGGAGCAGAATTAAAAAACAAAAAAAAAAGAAAATAGCTGTTTTTTTGTTTTATTTTTGCGCCACCGGGAAGCCGCCCAACACTTTTGACTACAAAAAAACCAGAAGGACAATAAAAGTCTGACAGAAAATATGTAAAAAAAAAAAAAAAAAATGGTATCAGTTGTCTAATTACCTTCACTCCGTACGGTGGATCATCGTATGTAACTAGCATGTACCTGTCGCCTCTACTAGCCGGGTCTCGGGCACGCAGCTGTCAAAAAAAATATAAGAAAACCAAAAACAACATATATTAATTTCGACCAATCTTGCCCCAAAGGAAACCCTAAGCTCTTCCAAAGGTGCAACATATACTTGCTGTAAAAAAAAAAAAAAAGTCGGGGTGAAAAAAAAATCGTTTTTCTTTACCTTCATAAAGACCTCAACCGCGCCTTTAGCAACGTCCAGATACGTCGTACCCAAATAAGTGCGCTGATTCATAGAGGCGGACGTGTCTAACAGGAAAAGTAAAATAGGCATTTTAAATGTAACGCCGCAGTTGTATGCTTTTCTAAAAATAACTGTTATCCACATATGACCTATCGTGCGGCCAAAGCGTTCACACATGTGTATATTTGTTATAATAAGCCCCCCCTCCGGTAGAGGGCCGATGCCTCTGCTCTCTCTCTCTCTGCCTTTCTGGAGGCTCGCGCTGTTCAACTTCTGCTCCTAACCGAATGGAACGCCCCGTCCGCTCCACTGCCGCGCCATTGGACGAGCCGCATTCCACTGGCCCCGCCCCCCCCCTCGCTGGGGAAGTATATATAGCAAGGTCGAGACTACGGGTGCATCCGCTTTGCTGTGTGTGTGTGTGTGTGTTGTGTTGGTGTTGTTGGTTGTGTTGTGTGTGTGTGTGTGTGTTGTGTTGTGTGTGTGTGTGTGTTTTGAGGGGTGGGTTGTGAGGAGATGGTGTGTGTGTGTGTGTTGAGTGTGTGTGTGTGAGAGAGTGTGTTTGTGGAGAGTGTGCGTGTGAGAGATGTTGTGTGAGAGAGTGTGTGTGTTGTTGTGTGTTTGTGTGTGTGAAGAGTGTGTGAGTTTGTTCTGTGTGTGTGTGTTGTCGTGTTGTGTGTGTGTGTGTGTCTGTGTGGTGTGTGGTCTGTGTGTCTGTGGTGTCTGGTATGTGTGTGATGTGTCTGTGTGTGTTGTGTGTGAGTGATGTGAGTGGAGTATGTGTGTTGATGTCTGTGTGTGTGTGAAGTGTGTGTTATGTGTGTAGTGGTCTGTGTCTGTGGTCTGTGTTGTGTGTGGTTGTGTGTGAGGAGTGTGTGTATATGTGTGTCTGGTTGTGCGTGTGTAGTATATGTGTGTGTTGTGTGCGCGTATATGTTGTGTGTGGCTTAATGGTCGGATATTATATATTTATTTTAATTTTAAATTTTATTTATGGATTTGTGTGTGTGTGTGTGAGAGAAGTGTTGTGTGTTGTGTGTGTGGTGTGTGGTTGCGTGTGTGTGATCATGCATAATCATATAATAATTGCACTACATTTATTTAACATTTTATGATATGGCATTTCATTCTTTAATTCATTGGTGTTGCTTACTGTGTTTAATTGCTGTGACACTGCAATTTACCAGCTTGGGACAATTAAAGTTATATCTATCTATCTTCTATCTATTATCTATCTATCTATATCATTATCTATCTATCATCTATCTATCTATTCTATAATGCCTATCTTCCTTATTTTAGAACACAAATAGAGAGTCAACTGTATAAATCATATTAGAGGACCAAATCAAATGTGTGGCCAATACCCTCACATACCTGCCCCCCCTACACAACATCACACACACACACACACACATCAAACATACACACACAGACAGACACACACACACACTCTGTGTTTCTCTCTATTGTCACTCTCTTGACGCGTTCAAGGCGCCACAAAAGCTCCGTCCTTCCGACTCTAAAGCAGCCACATGGTCCAGTAACCCATAATATTTAAGTTGGACAGTGTTTAAGTCTGTGAATCAAGTGCTACACTGTCTGCATTGTGTGCTGCGAGGGCAGAATTACAAGAAATGCACATTTAGGTAGAAACAAACAGAGTAGACACAGAACATACAAATATTTAGATATTTAAAAAGCCCACCACAAAAATAGTATTGCAAATATAACATTGGTCATCTGTAAACCTGTAAAACCACAACAAGTACCGCCTGTAGGCCTGCTGCATATTCTCTCTACTATTAATACATCCGACAGCACTGGAGAGCAGCATTGCTGTTACATTAAAGAGTATTCCTACAGTAACACTTAATAAAACACCTTGTAATTAAATCACGTATAACCTCAAATTTATATTATTTATAACTTAAAACCTATAATCCAAAAAGAGATTAAAAAAAAGCACTTCATAGATTCAGAGGTCAGTGAAAGTCATAGTATACATAAGGCCTGTAGCAACATAAAGCTTTTTGTCTTTCTTGGACCGGTTTTCAGCTTACAGCGTACAAAATGTAACAATAAGAGCAAATAGTGATAGTAAACACTGTTTAGTAGAACTATTAATGATTGCACTTGTTTGTTCTTTATTTGCTGCCACTGAAAAACAAGTAACAAGTACAACACATATTGTTTTTCTTAGCTTCTTTTCTGCCAAATATCCTAATGCGCTCCAACCTACAGCCAATCATATAAAGTAGTTATATTTTTTAATCTTTTATAAAATCATCAGGAAGAATCAACTCAGCACACTAATCCCGGAGCAGTGCACGCGTTTATGTGCGTGGTTTCTGTGCGTTAAATGCACGGCACGTTGCGGGGTTACGACGGGCTGCGTCATTACGTCCTGCTTCGCTGACGTCTTTGCACGTAGCGTTTCGCCATCCGCCCGCCCCCAGAATGCACCGCGAGGTCCGCAGCCTATTGACAAAGAAACAACAACAAGAGGGTTGTTGATCGGGAGCACAAACAACCCGCCGACGGCACCGATGGTACCCGAACCCGCCCGCTGACAGCCAGGTACAGAGCCGCTCTCGGTGTGGAGCCGCGAGTGAAACGGCTCCGGGTGTTATTGGCGGCGGTGACACTGCGTTTACACAACGATAGGTGGCTACGAGCTAACATCTGGTGGGTGGGGGGGGGGAATGATGTTTTATTACAATAACAGAGCAAACTAATGTCTTTAAAGTGTTCAGGTGGAGGCTCCCCACACGTGTTGTCCTGGTTGCTGCATTTATAACGCTGCAGTTTAAAGGCAGCTGACTTTTTATTTATGCATAAACTTAATTTAAATACGCATCTAAAGCTGGCCTCGCGTCCGAACCGTGAGATAAATACCCCCTCCGGTGGTAAACAACCCCTGAATGAAGCGTTGCTGCTGTCAGTACAAAGACTTCATCGTGCTTTTATTTGTGTAACGAAACAAAAAGTGTTGCGACACCACGAGACAGGTTCCTCGAGCTCCAACGTAACCATGTAAACACACGTGAGCAGCCACATGGAGTAATGCTGTTGTTATTGTTGAACTCGAACAATAACAATAACAACAACAACAACAATCCCGTTGCCCTGCTTACTGAATGTACCTGAATGCATCCAATGATTTAACACAATGCTGCATTCAAAGTTAGATCATGTACTGCACAGTTCTGCAGAATGGGCCCTTTCAGAGTCAGTGTTACTGTGAATCTGCCTGCAGTAACAGTGAGGTGTAACTGGAAGAAGAGCTAGACTGATAGATTAGACACCCGTATACCAGGAAACCAGTAACAAGACATTGTGGTACTGAAATGCCAGAGCTGCATTCCAGATGGTTTGGATTACATTGCATTGTTTACCACTTTTAAGCTCTCAGATGTCCACATTGGTGTTGTCCTCAAAAGTCCAGCATCAGTTGGGCTCTAGGTGAAGTGGAATATACTGTAAGCTTCATTATATTTGTCACATATAAAATATTAAGGTGCAGAGTAACTAGAAACAACAGCTGTTAGATAGATAGATAGATAGATAGATAGATAATACTAGTAAGATAGTAGTAGATATAGTAGGAATTCAAGCATCGAGTAGCATATTCAAGATACTAACATGTTACATTTTTAATTACTAAAATTAAAACCCTGACCTTAAGAACAGATTCAAAAATAAGATATAAAGTAGATATAAATGGAACAACAAATGCAACATTTCCTCATGAAATGTGGTGGAATAGATATCGAAAGTCACTGAATGTAGATACATACCTAAACGTGAGCGTCGCCTGTGTGTCTCCACAGTACCGTGCCATTGCCCTGAGGCCATGAGAGCGGGAAGTGCCATCTCCACCTAACGGGAGTTTACACAGCTTGATAGTTTGTGGAGAGAGGCGTGGGGGGCCCAGGCAGACCGTGGACGGGGAAGGGGAAGAGCTCAGCTGGAGCCAATGCAGCAGCAGCATCGACAGCCTGAGCTGGTGGAAGGAAGCCTTCCCGTGTTCGTGTTCCCCACTGAGCTCGTCTTCTACGCAGATGAGCAGACGTCTCACAAGCAGGTGCTCACCCTCTACAACCCCTATGAGTTCGCGCTCAAGTTTAAAGGTCAGTGGGAAGAGTCTGTGTGTTTGGGTTTCCATGTATGCTGTGTTATTTTTGTTATCAAACTAATCTGTTTTATGTCTTTTTTTCTTTTTTCTTAGTGCTGTGCACAGCGCCAAACAAGTACACTGTGGTGGATGCCACCGGAGCCGTCAAGCCACAGTGTTGTGTTGACATGTGAGTTTGTTTGGACTCATTATTTTGTCGTGTAGTGATAAAGCACCTAAATTCCTAATCTACCTTGTTGTTCTGTGGATTCCCGTCCATGTTTTTTACTGTTTATTGCTTACTTTGCCCAATATCGACGTGTCAGATGGTTGTTTACACAGCCGACTTTACCATCTGCTCAAGTAAAGAGTCTGTCTGACTTTCTGTGTCCACGCAGAGTAATCAGACACAGAGATGTGCGGGCATGCCATTACGGGGTGTACGACAAGTTCCGACTGCAGGTGTCGGAGCAGAGTCAGCGGAAAGCTCTGGGTCGCAAAGAGGTGACAGCCACACTCCGCCCCTCGGCCTCACAGGAGCCGCCCAGCCCCCGGCCCCAAGATGAGGAGCGCAGAATCAAAGAGCAGTTTGCAGACAGCGAGTTTTTTGAACAGACTGCATTTCAGACAGGTAGGATGAAAGACTGTTGCAGGGTGTGATCACTAGATGGCGCCAACTGCTCATAAGCTCAATTCTAGGAACTTTTTACTGTTTAAGGACATGGTGGGTTACATTGCTTTTTGTGGCCCGTGAACATTTTTGTCTTATCTAGTATAAAATAAGTTATTCGTCTTACAAACATAGTATAACAATAAGAACATGTTATAATCGTCTCCTGGTAGGTGTTTACTGTTTACCCGCTCCCTATTCAGATTGTTGCGTACATAGTTACATCTTTTTCTGTAAACCAAAACACAACTTTCATGCTATCAAAACAGTAGGTAGGTAATTGTGCAGATAATCACTGTCAGACTGTTATTTACAGTTGAATTATGAGCCAAATCCTAAAATTTACTTAATAAAACACTAATACTGAAGTGGTAGAGTATTCACTCTTCACTTTTATCAGCACGTGCAGAAATGTTTTGCTATTCTGAGTGCATAGTTATCTTTTGTATGTTAAGATTTGCTTGTTAAGGGATATAAGTCTTGTGATTTTCAGTATATTTTGTATTGCCAACAAAAAGATAAGAGAGATTTATTTGTCACATGCACAGTTATACATAGTACAATGCACAGTGAAATGCTTCTTTGTACCTACAGCCAGTAGTAAAGAAAAACAAAAACAAAATACTACTACAGTAAAACAGTAGTGATTGCACAAAATAAATTAAAATAAAATAAAAAATAAAGCAAACCAACAATGCCCAGCTGTTCTAGAAAATTATACAGCCTTCTATAAAATGAAAGTATATATTCCCGACCCATTATTACAGGTTTATGTCTTCAGTGGGCTTGGGGCTAAGAGCCACAGACAGGCTGGGGTCAGTCAGTACTGGAAGACACATTAACTCTGAGTGATGCTCCTGATGACAGTGTACACATATGTTTGTGTGTGTGATGACAGAGAGCCGTCCTGTTGCTGGAGGCCCCAGTCTGCTGACGGTGCTGCTGGGGCTGGTGTGTATGGCCGCCCTGATGCTCCCGACGCTGGGCGAGCAAGAATCGACTGTGCCTGTCTACCTCCACTTAAGTGTTAACAAGAAACTTGTAGCTGCTTATGTTCTTGGTGAGTAAATACAGGGCTAGGACAGAATGAGGTTTGCATTGTATGTTAATAATTCTGTTTATGACATGGACAGCATCACTCACTTTTGTTTCTTGTTACATTTTAGGTCTTCTTACAATGGTCATCCTGCGCACATGACGTGCTGTGAGCCGCGAGGAGGAGTGAAAATGATCTAAACAGGAGAACATTCTCACACCGGAGGCACTGCTACGCTTCAATGAGTACTGACAGCAGGGGGACGGGGTAGTCAAGTCACCCGAAACTCTGAAAAATACATTTTAGTATACTTGTTTTCAAATCCACATACTTGTGTGAATACATACTTGTGTGAATACATACGTTGACACAATGCCGAACTGATGCAAAAAGCGTAGACCTCCAGTGTGAATGTCAAATGTCTGGCCCTGAGCAGGGCCCGTGAAGCAACATGCGGCCATTCAAAGTGTTGTCTGGCCTCATATTCCCTGTGTCTGTATTTTTATTGCCATTATGTAACAGAATATGGTTAACTTGAGTGTGAAGGACGAGCGGACATGATACATGTACATAAAGGCCATTACAATTTTGTTATGGTATTCACCTGTAACCGTCATTATATTGATGTTTTAAAGCATTTTTTGTGTAGACTCTGAGGACTGAATGCAGTCATTTGCATGTGTGGATACCTTATCTGGAGGAGTTTTTATTTGTTTCCAGCAGTGCGATACTTTTACATGTCACCAAAGGAAAGATGGTTTGTTTGCCGTACTATATCGATGCTTCATTGAACGTTTAATAAAGTCTCAATACAGCAGTCTGGTATAATGTTCATAGAGCAACATCAGGTTATTTTCTACACTTTACAAGTTGGGTCAGGAGGGTGTAGAGCACACAGCACAACAATGAGGCCCTCTGTTAGCTTTATGATGGTTACTGAAAATAATCCGAGTCTCCCTCGGGGCTGTATGTTATCAGATTTGACAACTGAAAACAGCATCATTTGCCACCGCTTGCGTACCATTTGGTCCCACAGCAGTAAATAAGGGGTTGGGGATGACACTCCTACTCTGGCCCCAGATGCAGTGCTGACATTTTAAATTAGTATGTGTATGTTTTATTGCTCAGGACAAGAAAACACAAAACAGCTACACACACATAATAAAGAAATAATTTATTTAGTCCTGATGTCTGCTACGATTGCAATCACAAAAGACACAAGCATGGGCACGGTGTTAGCTAGCTTGGTAGATTACAGCCTTTTCCATTATAGACATACAGTATAGTATAAGATTATTTGCTAAATTCATGCCCTGAACGCTTCATAAAATGACTTGAGAAAAAAATAAATCTTAACAGCAGGGCAAGCTGGAGGCTTTTCCACTTTGTATAAAGGAATAAGACATTCAGTAAATGAACTGCAACCAGGCTTTTGTTTAACTTAAAAGGGCACACTTCCATAAAATGATTTACAATCACTTCCTCTTGTACATACACATTAAAGGCTCCAGAGCCACTAAGGGTGACACAGGTCGTGTGGGCACTGGGGCCTCGACATTTGAAAGCAAATCAAGGTGCTAAAATACAGGCTTAACCTTTATACTGTTTTTAAGATCTTGTTTTTTACGTTTCCCTGCTCATACACAGGCTGAAACGTTACAGGATCGAGTGTTCTGTGCAAAAAGCTCTTTTCATAAAAACGTAGCCACAGCAGAAACAGCAGTCTCTTTACTCACAATGCGACGGTGCCAATTTGTTTTTGCTTCACGTTCCAGCAGTCAGTTGATTTGGTGTAAATGACAACACGAATGGTTCTCTATTACTGGGGATAGAAACCTATCGCCATCCAATTTTTTTTATAATAAACATTTCTTTCCATAAATAAGAACATTTCGCCAGAAGAAAGAAAACTGATTCATTTCGATACTCTGTTTATCTACAAAAACATCCTGACAAGAACACAGGATACAGAGGAACCTTTAGTGTTGAAAGCCCAACAGTGATGATCAAAATACTTCATCCGTAATAAACTGCTAGGTGCATTAATTGCTCATACTCGGCAATTAAAGTTGCAGCAATTCATGGGGGAAGGTGGCATAAAAGTCAGACTGAAAAAGGAAAAGAAAAATACACAGTTCACAGCCTCTATCATAAAAATATCTGCTGAAAACATAACTTCTCTTACAGTGTGACAGTAAGGAAATCTCTATAGTTGTACCCCAGAAGTAGTTCATGTTCTTTTACAAATAAAACTTCTGCTGTTGAAGACTTGTGCCCACATTCATCTCACAGCCAATCACAAACTTAAAACTATGTACGACATTTGACAAGGTTAATATGTACATAATTACAACCAAGCAGGAAAACAATAAGTTAAATCTTTTCTTACAAAATCTGCAGACTGCGTACATACAAAAAGGCCTGTGGACAGAAGTTTTCCAGCACAAAAACAGGGAAATGTACACATCCAATAGTCTTTTTTTATTTTATTTGTCCAGTGCTCAATGTCTCTCTCCAGTGAGGGGAACTGGTAGGACAGATTTGAAGTATAGCCACTTATATCACTACGAAAGCCAAGCACCATCCAAGGTCATCTACTAGCAGCTGGTGCTCACAGTGTCTTCAGTCATTCCTAGTTTCACTAGGCTCATCTCTTACACACAAAAACTCACCCATGGCTTTCACTTCCTTAATTCAAAAACATATCTAGACCCTCAAAACGTAGCCATGAAAGCCGCCACTCGGAGAAAACCCCATGAAAAATTCCACTTAAACCAAATCTAGGCGATGGTGAGATGGAGGGTCTGAGAAGGAAACTTCTTCCCTGGAGAGAGGCTTTTTTGGAGGCGGTCCTTTCTAGTGTCTCTTGCTCTCCCAGGCTCACTTTGGGGACAAATCCTGGAGGGAAGCGAAGGGGGAGTTGCTGGACGAGGAGGGCGACACTCCCTCCATTTTGCCCGGTGAGTCGGTGGAGGAGCCGACGCTGCTGAGGCTGCCATCCAGTAAATCTGGAGAGTGACTGAAAGAAGAAGTCAAGTTCAGCAGGACTGCAGGCGGTCGTCATTGTGACTGTGGCACAACTGCTCTATTATAGTCTATGCATTCCCAATATTACTCTAAAGCATTGCTGACTCCAGTAAGAATTAATAAGAATTAGATATAAATGTACATTCTTACATACAAGGATAGTGGTTGGGCTAAATAAACAGTGGGAGTTGAGTTAAAAATGCATCATAAATGCCAGGTAGAACTGTTTTAACATTTTTAGGGTAACTATGCTTTCATTAGTGCACAATCCCCTGAAACTAAGAACTGCTGTGTTTTCAGTAGTTGAAAGTCAATGAGTGTCATGGTAAGGTGAGCATTCACTGGAGTTCAATTTTCACCAGCTGTTTGGGCATTTATTGATCCACAACAGTCTTACCAGGAACCGAGATCTGACAGGTTGGAGACATCAGAAGACAGCATGGTGGTGGTGCCCTGGAAGAGCCTCTTAGGCTGACTCTCCGTCTCCATCTCACCTGCAGAGAAAAGAGACCCTGACATTCAGAAAACACAAAGTCTGTGTACTGATCTAAAAAGGACAGTCGGATGAAATAGTTTGTTTTATTCTAATCGTAATCCGATAGTATAAGAGAACAGATCTTATCGGCTCTTTACCAGAGAGCCAATGTGGTCTCCAATAGTTAAACTAAAGAATTACACTTTGCATGTGACCAGAAGAGTGTCACGTGTTCATGTACCAAGAAATTCAAATGCATGAATATTAGAAAGACGTGTTCTGAATTGACCTTAAAGCTGCAGTTACTCTTGCCTGAGGTATCTCACCTTTGCGTTTCATTGGCCCAAGTATGCTGGCTCTGATGCAGTTGATCGGGCTTTGACTTCGTCGGCTAAAGAGCACAGAAAACACGGTTAAACCAGTATATTTCAAAATGCAGCCACTACCAGCGGCCATCAGCTAGTTACAAACACACCAGTACAAAATATCATCTTAACATTTGTCATACAGATAAACATATCTAACATTCGGGCAATAAATAGTTGTAAAGTGCATAGAAATGCTTCTACAAGACAAACGGGAAACCTGTTCTATGTCACCAGGGACAAATTAGACAAATTGGAGCCATCTGGTGCTACTGTAGCCTCACAGTAAACAGATGCTAATCAAACAGACCTGTATCAGAACGAGAGTAAAGTGACACTGGTAGATTATAAAAGGGTATTAACTGCAGCCATCACTCCAGGAGTTGGATCTCACCTGAAGCGTCGCGTCGGGCTGGGTATCGGGCTGGGTGTTAGGCCGTTGCTGCTCACAAGGATTTGTAGTGAAGGAGAGAAACACTGCTGCTTGTAAGAAAGTGAAATCAAAAAGATACAGACGAAAAGGGAATGAGGTCAAAAGACATCAGCATCAACGCACCAAAATGTACTTGGCCCCAGATTAAGGCAACATTTTTAGCATCATTCCTGTTGTATTAGTACATTTAAGAAGATATTTGTACAATTAAGGTTTAAAAACAGATTAGGCAACAACCCAACTGACTGACAGGTTATTTTATTGTAGCATGTATGAACCTTGTTTTCCTCCCAAAATATGGAGCAAAGGGCATGAATCAAACACAAAGAAGTGTCCTGTTCCCTAATCACCGGTGTGTGGTTTGAATTAAAAGAAATATTTTCTTAAGCTGTGGCAAACTGATGAACTAATTCACCCAAAGAGCTCAACAGGAGCCATGTTTCTGTGTTGCTGATAAATTGCTTCCTGCAGGCAGCCACACAGACATCCATTCATCAACCTGACTGCAGGTTGTTAGGAAAATCAAGTTACCGCAAATCCTGAAAATGCTTTTAACTGTTACCTTCATCTGGTTACTGCGTATAATCAGGTTACGTGCATGTAAACACACCGAGGTCAGACGTACCTTTTTTCCGATCCCTCTGGTCGGGGACGGGGCCGGCGACACAGGAACAAAGTCGATGCGCTTCGGGGACGAAGATGCGGACTTCTCCAAATCGTTGTCACTCTAAAGACAAACAAACAGCAAAAGACGTTGATGGCAGTTACATCTTTCATCGCATCCTTACAGCGCGTTGTCGTTAGCGAGGCAATACAAATGATATTAGACATTAAAGAACCCATGTGGGAGTATTATACTACCAACTCAGTCTGACCTTCAGAACCTGGTGGCCCTGATAACTCCCAGAGTGTTAATCTAGCATGTTTGTGCTTGTTCTCTCCACAGAGATCGAGAGACCAACAATGGCCCACGGCCAAAACATGCAGTGGGAAGGTACACCGGAGTTCAGCTTCAAGGATTTAGAGGGACAGATCATAACAACACTGATGTGGGGGTTAGACAAACTGTAATCAAGAGGTCCTTCTTTACCAGGCTAAGGCTTTCTTCCCAAGACTGGCTCATCTGCATGGCGGTTTGAACTTCCCTGTGTTTACAAAAATAAGAAAACAAGGGATAAGTTGATACTCGTAAAGCATTTCACCTTCAACTGAAGTTATAATTCCACCAGCTCTCTGCTTTCAACTGCTTTCATTAATACACAGCTTACCGCTCATGAGCAGTCTCTCTGTTCATCACGTCCACACCCTCCTCCTGCAACAGCACACGAGACGGTTCATGGTTAGAAAGTCCTATTTCACCAACTGCGTAGCGTTTTTAAAACTGATTCAAATACACATTTCATCTCATGCCACTGCAGCTTGAGTCAGGAGGTACAACCCCAATCTCATCTACAAACCTAAAACTGAAACCTTTTCACATTATTTATGGAGATTAGAGTCAGCCAGCGGACACCAACGTGACCTTTCCCCTCTGTTGGAGTCTGATACTACCAAATGATCAACTCTAAAAGATCGATGGCCCTGTGAACTCCAGGAATTGTTACTCTTGCATGTTGTATTAGACACCATCACTCCCTATGGCTCGAGAGGGAGACAGCGGTCTGACATGCTCCTTTTCCCCAACGTGAAACACTCCAAAAACACGTTGGAAAAACCATCTTACTTGTTTTATCTGATGCAGTCTGGTGCTGGGGACGCGAATGGGTGACGAAGGGACCTGTGAAGAAGCACATTGAACATTGAATGCTGAACAATTACGACACAAATGACTTCTTAATAAAAGAGTGTGTTACAGTTTTGTACCATGTTGGGCCTGTTCACAACTGTAGTGCTATTTCTCCGGCTACGCAGGACCTCTCTCTGGAACACTTGGGAGTTATCACTGGAATGACAAATTCACACACCAACAATATGTCATGTGTCTCTTCCTCCTCCCCCCCACATGAGGTCAGTTCAACACTCACTTGAACAGATTGTGCAGTAAATTCTTGCAACTATATCATGTATTGTTGAACCTTAAGCCGTTTATCATGGGTGCACTGTTGGATCTCCTCAAGTGTCCATCGCTCTGCGCTAACGAAGATGGGATTTCCAGATCCAGCTCCATCTTTTCTTGAGGCAACACTCCTGAATTGTTCATTTTTTTTAATTGTTTTTGCTACCTCTCGCCTTCTCACCAATGCATGCACTTTAAAAAAAAACCCACCAGCTCAGTGTGATGTTACATCGTGGCTCTGCAAACTTTGGCTTCAACTTTTACATGTTTAAAGAGGCGTCGTGAAACAACGCAGTGGAGGAGGAACAACTACACCCCCAGCACCCTGTGAAGGCCCTGTCGCCTGCACAACTCCAGTGCTTGAAGCAGCTTTAACTTTTAACAACCACACGAACTACAAGCCTTCATATCACAACTACACGGGCAGTCAGAAACCGGCCTGCGCTCACGTTGTCTGTAACGTTTTCACCAGGCAACCCCCCCACTACGGTTCCTGAGGGATGTTCAGCATGCCAGTGGCTGCACATACCGCACAATGCCCGGTAACTGCTGGCTGACCGACCCGAGGGGAGACGACTCAAACGCCGCTGACCTCTCTGTGCATTGCAGCGCGGTAAATTAGCTGAGCGTTAGCCGAGAGCCAACGAGCTGCTTTTCCCTCCCGACTACAAAAAAAAAGAAAAAAGGCCTTTTTAAAGTTTGACGTTTTTTTTTTTGCGACGTCAATACAACGACGCTGCTGTTGGGTGAATTTAAAGTTAAAAAAATATTTAAAAAAAACTAAATAAACGCGAGTTTCTGGCTAACACAGCTTAGCTACCTTAGCCTGCTAGGCTAGGCTAAGCTAAGCTAAGCTAAGTTAGCACCAGCGCAAGTAGCCACAATGCTAAGCCCACAGATTGCGGCCCCTGGGTTCACCATTTCACTAACGAGCTCCTGTCCCAACAGCCTGGCGGCTACTACACAAGCAAACCTCCGAATCCGTATCTTTTGTAAATCATAAAACGCTTCTACAGGTTGTTATTTTTCGGTTTTTGTCTGCAGGTACCGCCGAGAATGAGCCAGGAGATCTCACACACACACACACAGGGAGTTAGCTCCTCACTAGCTCTAAACTACACGCCCCCTTTTTTTTCAACGTTGGCCGAGCCGTCCAATCAAATCGCTCCGTTAGCCGAGACGTCC